TATGATAGGCATATCTTGATGAAATCAATACATCATCTTGTATGGGGCTTTTCAAAGAAATTATAATTGATAGAACCATCGATGGAGAGGTNTGATATAATGATAATGATGATAATTATGAATTGATGTTAGGCAATACTGGATAATGTATTTATCATAGCTGCTTGTAATCCTTTACGTGGAGACAGTACAATTCATTTGCAAAATGTAAAAAATGTTTGGGTTAAGCCAAGTTATTATGTTCGTGAGCTTCATCCTACAATTGATTATCTAAAATGGGACTATGGGGACCACTTGTAGAAATCAAATACTCGTTGAATATCTCTTTGACTAACACAACTTCTAGAACACTTCCTGGCTTCCATTACATGAACTCCTTTATTTGTTAACAATGTATTAGCATATAGCCTCATTCTTACTTGGCTTTCTAAAATTAATTCAGTTAATTGATCAGAAGTAAAAGCATCAGGTTGATCTTTAGTACAATCATTCATTTTAGCAGTGATGTATTCTTTTTCTTGAATTTTATTTAATGCTCCATAGTCCCATTTTAGATAATCAATTGTAGGATGAAGCTCACGAACATAATAACTTGGCTTAACCCAAACATTTTTTACATTTTGCAAATGAATTGTACTGTCTCCACGTAAAGGATTACAAGCAGCTATGATAAATACATTATCCAGTATTGCCTAACATCAATTCATAATTATCATCATTATCATTATATCAAACCTCTCCATCGATGGTTCTATCAATTATAATTTCTTTGAAAAGCCCCATACAAGATGATGTGTTGATTTCATCAAGATATGCCTATCATAACAAATAATGCATAATAGTTATAGAACGTGGTTGCTTGTAATATCAATAATGAAGTGTTTTAAAAGCAATGGCTTAATTATTGTTCAAAAATTTTTACTTAATAAACAAACAAGTAAGGTCAATATTATTTATGCAAAATAATGATTTATTAATCTGAGGGTATAATGAATTTTGTCTACTATGATAGCTTAATCTATTGACAATTTCTAGAGTAGATCTATATGCAAAATTCTCATTTGCAAAATTTAACCCTAAAAGTTTTACAGTAATTGAACATTAACTTACTGTAACTTGAGGAATTTGAGATTTATCAACACAATCTTTAAAATGAATACAGATTCGCTTTGCTTGTTCATTGACTCGGTTAAAAAAATTTATGATGTCATAAGTTTTAAGTCCTTAAAAAATTGCAAAATCATTATATCAAAATAATTACATTTATAATATACACACAAACCTGCATGAACATCCAACTTATGAAATGTTGATATTTCTGCTGTAGCAAATCCATCCAAGAGCTTCAATAAATCCTACAAGTAATGAAATTTATAACAAAACATGGTAAGGATACTTTGGTGTCAATATTATCATCTGAAGTGTTAGCTATTCTCCAAAACTTCTCTTCTGTATCATGTCTAGGTAAAACAACTGACAAGGATGGATTTTTTTTCATTGCTAATGCTATCTTTTCTAATTCTAAGATAATCCTTTTTAACTCTGCTGCTTCAATGTTTCCTCCAGTAGTGAATATTTCTTCACTTTCAACATCATTTCTAAATCGAGATAACTGCTGTTTTAAAGACATATCAAGTCTGTTTTGTCCTTAAAAGAAACAAAAATTCAAATTTTACCACATCAGTCAATTTTTCTTACTTTTATGATGCAGGGTAAGTGTTTCCTTGAGTTTTTGCTCATAAAATTTAAGCTCAGTTTCATAACTATAATTCCAAAGTTTTGACAGCATTCTTAACAGTGCAGTTTTTCCAACTCCAGTTTCTCCCTCAATAATAACTGGCATGCCACATTCTCTCCTTTCATGAATATTAATCATTTTTAGTGCAAAATCCAGTGTTAAGACATAGTCGCTGTCATCAATTAGCTTCAGTGTTTTATATTGAGTTTCTTCAATTGGTAGACCTTTTCCTTTAGGTGTATAAATGACTTCTGTAACTTCAGACAGAGGAAGAGTAAGGGCTCGAGCCAAATATTCATCTAATACTTTTCTTTTATAAAAATCCCTGACGTTAAATACAAATCATGCTACAATGAAATAAAGATAATATATATTTACCCTTGAGATAGAATTTTTACTCCAATGTTAGTAAATGATTTTCTATCTTCGGAAGATATTTGATCAGGATATAATGTAATTAACCCAATGCTGCCAACACCTTCATAAATTAACTACAAAACACAACTCATCAAAATAGATTCAAAATGTACTAACTTGTTGATGGGCTTGTATAGACCAATCTTCTTTAGTAGATGGATCACAAAATTGAGGAACTTCATTTAGCATTGCATTCATTAATGTGGAGCCAAGCTTTCTAGTATCACTTCCATCTAAACTTCTTCCAGCATTGTAATTGTACTGAGGCAAATTATCAAGAAAATAGCACCGTCTTTTTATGTACCTATTCATTCAATGATCATAACATTTTTAAAGCTATACTTCTATTTTACTTGATAAAGAGCTTTTGACTTATTTTGCGCTCTGCTATATAATCTGGCATGTATTTATCTAACAATGACAAGCATTCTGACTCGTCAAAATCAGCCTCAGTACTAAATTTGACTGGAATTTGAATAAAATCTAGTAAAATTAAATGACACTTAGCTATTAGATCTATGGATTTTACCATTAAATAGTTTATTAATCCCTTCTCTTGTTCCTGGGTTTTCTTGTTCAGCCTTATATGCTTTTAGATATTTGCAAACAAGCTGTACATCATCATCAACTTTATAAGGCCAACTAGAACTAATATGTTTTGGTGCACCAATGAAATTAAAAGTTGGAAGGAGTTCTTTAAAAGTATTTAAATTGCTTTGGGGATCATTATGTAGTGATGGAACCTAATATTTACTGTAAAAGATAATGTGTTTTTATAGTAAACCTACTTCTATAAAAATTTTCCAATTTTCTGTTAATGGGACAGAGAATGATGCCCCAGTGTGTGGATCTTGTATATAGCCCAATACAAGAAACTCAAACATAAACCATCCAATTTTATCCATTAGTGTTTCAAACTCCTTTCTTTCTTCCTCTGCTACACTTTTCTAAAACAAAAGTGACATAATGTTGATACGTATATAATAACTTACTCCTGGAGGTAAGAGGGTAAAATTGAAAAAAATAGAACAATTCTTCTCATCACACAGCAGTTTTAATTTATCAATAACTTTTCCAACAAAAAACATCTCATTAACAGCAAAGACAACATTATTAGCAGTAAGTTGACTCCTAATATAATGAGTTTTTCCATTGCCTACAAAAGGCACTCTCTATAAATTAATCTCACTATGAACTTTAAAAATACCTTGCAAACCATAAACTAATTGCGGTTGGCTCCAGAAAGATATGTCAACTTTTTGGAGATTTTCCTCATTTTTTACAACAGTATTGATGAATGGAGCATTCTGAAGAAGAGAAGCTGAAGTTTCTATAAAGTGTAGTGTTGATCGTGCATGAGTGTCACATTTTAGCATCTTGTCATAGAGTTCCAAATAATATTGTACCAATGACTAAAAATAATTATCAACCAACAATAAAAAGAGTAAGTCATACCTCCTGTAATTTTGAATTGAGTTGATCAACTTGAAGAAAGTAATAATGCCGAGGAAAAAACTCAATTCTTTGAAAAAATAGTTGAATATCATTTAGTGTTGTTCCAGAATGGCATCTTAATAACTCATAACATTTAGGAAATTGACTGTTAATAGAATAGAGGCCCTGAATGAGATGTTTTACAGTAAACTTGTGACACTGATGAAGAACAGCAAAGCTGCGAAAGTCCTTCTCAATAGGTTTAGAAATGACTACAGACTTAAAAACTTCATAAAGATATAAGCCAACTACCCCTGTTGGTGTTTCCTGAGAACTGATAGACCCAAGAGATAAGCCAACCACTCCAGTTGACGATTCCTTAGAACTGATAGATTTAATGGCAGTTTCCTAATAAAATAGGTACTAGGTGGTACACAAGCAATTATATTAAACTCACAAAATACTCCATATAACTTGACTGTGATTCCAACATAAGAAAACGAAGTTGCTTAAATATTTTATAAGCAATATCTTGTTTGCTTTGTTTCTTGGATGATTGTATGAGTTTATATATTTCAATAATCCCATGAGTAGGCAAAAAAGACAACCACTTATACTGAACTCTATTTACAGCAGCACAATCAGACCATTCCTTTGCTTTTTGCTCAGTTTTTTTCACCTATAAATAAAAGTAAAATTAAACAGCAATTAATGATATACCTTCAGTTCTATCTTCTCAAGTACTTCACAGCATTCCAACAGATAACTATAATCTTCATTGTATTCTGGATGTCCCATTTCATGCAAGGACTCTACTGACTTTTGTAGCCTGGCCACCATCTGTAAATTTATGACTAACATTTACATTCACTAAAAATATTAACCTCATTTAATCTTGTAAAACCTAAGACTTTAGCATTGCCATCTTTCAGTTTTGCAAAGCCA